CACCAAATTCTGGGGAATTCTGGTTCTGGGGTTCGCGTCGTCCAACATATTCAAGATCTTCTACTTTCGGATGTATTTATCGATTGTATTGATCGGTGCTCTTCACGGACTCGTCTGTCTTCCGGTTGTCCTCTCATTCATCGGATCCAATCTGAGGCACCGGAAGGGATGGGAAGTTGTTTGAACTTAGTTTTATCATTCATTATTAGTTTTGTTACATTTCTATTTCATTGCAATTATTTTTTTAATAAAATTTTTATTTAATACATGATTCAAATGATTTCACTGTGCATTCATTATATTTTTATAATTTAGTAAATTCATACATATATTGTATATTTGCATATATTTGAATAAATATTCATAAATTTTAATAAATATATTTAATACCTACAATAACCCCATTATATCATTATATTATTGGTAATCATGGCATGGCAATTATGGCAATCATATTCTATACATACAAACATTAAATTGTACCAGATAGAATTAAAAACCATAAACATCGGCATGGGAACCGGATATTCTTAATTGTAAACTGTAAAATACAGTTAGAGTTGACCAGTTACCTTTTATTACCAAATTGTATCAAGTTTTAATTTAATTATTGGATAAAAGAATAAATTTTACAAAATATTCTAACTTATGTTAAAATAACATATTTATTAATAAAAAAATCACTTTATAGGGTATATTCTTTAGAAATATTTATTTCAAAGTATATAGGAATTTAATTTTGATTAGATTATAAATACAGTATTATTTTTAATTACGGTAAAAACTAATTTTATGACAAATTATTTTTATTTTATTTATTTAATAAAACTGCAAAATAAATATCCGGTACAATCAATAATTTTAGTTTAAATCAATGGTTGAATGCAAACACTGTTTTGCCGCTCAGTTCTCCGCATAAATTCAATCCATTTTTGTTATATAAATTTAAATCAATTTCTTTGGATTTATCTCGTGTTGAGAATAACGAAAACTTTGAGTTTTGACCGAAAGCTACTCTTATCTGTAAAAAATAAAATAATAATTTAGTAAACATTTTACATTTTAACTAAATATCATACCAGCATTAAAATCACACAAAAACATTGAGTTAACAGTTAACTTATAGTTCATTAAATGAAAAAAATAATTAAATTACATTTCTATCCAATTCGTGTCCACTCGTAATGTACTCTCCGATCGGGTTCTCCAACAAAACGGTTGCCTTTCTATCAGTCTTTCCCTCTTTAGTACACAATTCGATATTGAAATACTTGCAAAACGGTGGCTCAGATACCCCTTCACTACTTCCAACGCCACTCGTACTACTAGTCCTTTTGTTGGGGCTATTCTTCACAGGTTTAGGATTATTAGCACTTTTATCATCACTTTTAA